GTGGGACTGTCCTCCTCACATCACCTGTGATGTGAATTCATCATATCCAGTGGTTTCATGGTGCCTTATCAGCTGGTTTTGTTTGGCTGTTTTGGACATTCTGCTTGTCTTTGGACTTTCCCTTTTGCCAGCCTGTTACTGACCACTGCCTGTTCTCTGAGAGGAGCTCAGAGCACCATGCCCCACATAGGAGAGGAGTTTGATAGCTAAAGGCTCTGCCTCCCATTCTACTTCTGTGGACTCTAGGAACCACAAGTAAACCTGCACTCTGAGAGCGAAGTGCTCTGTTAGGATGATAAGGCTCTACGAGGTCTTTAAGATACGATGGAGCCTTGTCATTAAGGGCTTTGTATGTTAGGAGAAGGATTTTAAATTCTACTCTGAATTTTACAGGGAAGTAACAAATGCATGGACCAGTTTTTCAGCATCACTTTGAGACAGGATGCTCCTGATGTTGGTGATACTGTGAAGGTGAAAGAAGGCAGTTCTAGAGACTTGGTCTGTGTGTGGTTTAAAGTCTAGTAATGACTGTCTGACTGTGTCTGCATTGGGTCTTCCCTTCCCGTTACCTCGCTCACCCTTTGTGTCACCTCTGTCCCTCTTTTGCAGTATCTCTACTCTTAAGCACTTATCCTAGAGCAAGTCAGAATAATGGATGTGCTCATACATTTAATTTCAAATGATGCTGTCAAACATATTGCTTTGTAAAATCAGCAGCACAACACTACATTTATAGAATTTCTTAGTTTGCACTTTGTGGTTGCAGGTGCATGGTCAGAGTATTGATTCAATACTGATTCAACAGTACACAGTGCAGCCTCAGACAGTTCATCTCATAAAGGCAGAACCGTTCTGTGAACAGCGTTGTGCTGTCATTTGTATGAGAGGCTCATGTATCTACTGAATTGCCATGTGTGGTTTTGTCCCATTTGGCACAAATGAATATATTGTTAGCTACAAACCTCCCAGCAGATGGAGCCATAGCACAATTCATTTGTGTACTGTAATACTGCATACATTCTTAGTTTTGTGTACTGCCTGTGTGCACTCTAGTCATTTTGCTATGCAGTAGTACTGCTGAGAATGACATGCTTTACGTCCTCTACAGTAAAACACCTGCAGTTTCACAGAGCAAAAGTCTGATCCTCAGTAGGTCACAGCCATTCTGCAGCTCTGCTTCACTCTTCTCTCAGTGTTATGTTTCTTTGCGGATCTCGTTAACGATCACAACAACTTCTTCAGAGCAGATTTCCTCTGTCTATTCATATGCACATACAAACAGCCTGCACCTGTGTGTCTGCAGCCAAGAGTGAAACTCATTTCCTCTGAGAAGGGGACAGAGGATGTTTCAGCTTGAGATTGACAGCTGCTGCCACCACCATAGCATAGGAATAATGAAGGAACAGGAGGAGAGATAAACCCACCTGAGGATTTTACCTTTAATATTCATCATGAGACTAAAGGCAGGTCTGGTCTTGTGTGACAGGAATAGAAATGTAGTGCTAAATGTGGGCTGGTGGGGCTCCTTGCTGTGTGTGTTTAGTTTCCTGACAACAGTTCAGATCCGGTGAAAATAGGACTGGCTGTGGATGAAATAGGACAGGAATAGAAATAGCTCTGTCTCTGGGGTGAGTTCTGTGTCAGTCGCCTCTTGTGTCCTGTTAAGCTGGTGTCTATTCTCCGTCCAGGTGCTGGAGTGTGGGAGATCCTGCCCAGGACTCACATGCTCCTGGAATCCATGAGAACACATACGGCCTCCGCCAAAGGATGTAGATGTAAGGCACTGACAAGGAATATGTTCTTGCCAGCTCAGATGGGGCCTGTATAATCTGGGGCCTGGAAGCCAGAACTCGCCCACTCAGCCCCTTCTGTCTCCTTTCTGCTGAAACAGGAGTGGCTGAATCAGTCTGATGGAGGCGATCGTCTTGTTGAACCATGAGCGGGTTTCGTAGAGCGGCAAATTTAGTCATCGCTGTGTTGTGCTACATCTGCAGTAACAGTGAAAGGTCTGGACACACTTTCTCATTCAGTGGTTTTCTTTGGTGCTGTTAGTTTCCATGTTGTTAATTAACACAGAATACATCAAAATAAAAACAAACATGTTTTAAAAAGTTTCTTACAGTAGCTGTTTGTCTTGATGACAGCTGTGCACATACTGACAAAGTCTAGCAAGGTTTTTAATTAACAAGTGAGCCTTGTCGACGGTTAGCTAGTGCAATTTGTTGCCTTTTTAATGAATTTAACACCGTTGGTTGTGTTGTGCCAAGGTACAGCAAATTGATAGTAAATATGTGCTAGAATTTGGTGTCTTCACTATTAATGTACGATGTATAGTACAACAGAAACAAAGATGTAAAGTGTATGCGATCGCCTCTGGTTGTATTTTATTGTAGCAAGGCAGCCAGTGTGACAGTGCATTGCTCTTTCAACTAACGGAGTGTTTGTTCCCAGAGTAGACGGCACATATGACTCAGATGACCAGATGGTTTCTGTTGCCTCCTTCATCTTTGGGGATGACATCTCCTTCTTTGCAGAGAGGAGCATCACACAGGCAAGTTTCCGCTCCAAAGGCATAACATTACTTTACTACTAGGCCGTGAGTTATCACGCATAAAGGACAAATGTTCCTATTGTCCTTCAGGCTGATGTGACACTAGACTTTGGTTGTTTTGCCTTTTGAAAGGGAGGTGCAGAATTCCTCTAAAGAATAACTTCAAATAACAATTGGAGATGACTGATGAACAGTTCAGTTCACAGGTGCCCTTGGGTCATTACTGCAGAAGTTACAAACGTGCACGCTTCACCTACACTAGTCTTCTGGAGTAGAATGATGAAAATACTCCAGTCTATTGCCTTTTGGTAGTTTCATCACATCCGCCTCTGTAAAATACTTAAAGCCAAATACAGATGCTTCAGAAAGTATTTGCAAATTTAGTAAAAACCAAAAAACTGGATGTTTTCTTTTACAACAGTGCTCAGAACCTTAATCCAACACCAGTAGAAGCTCCAGGCTTCTCGGCTGAGTCTCTACCAGCTGTGCACACCTGGATTTGGCCAGTCGATCCCGTTCTTCCTGCAGATCCTCTCAAACACACTGAAAACACACATAGAGAAATATCTTAGGTGAAGGGACTGATGTTCATGTAAGATCCCATTGCTCATGGCCAGAAGCTGACGGAGGAAAAAAGGTTTTCAGGGCCTTTAGGTGCAGTTTTGATTCAAATGAAGACGTGTCATGTTTGGTACCTAGTGCCTTTGCTTTGTTCACTTACAGGTCTTACAATTCAATCTGTAGTACTCCAGGTCGGGCTGCACGCACTCATGGCTGTTTCTAGATTTCACCATGCAGTATTCCGTGAGTACTGTTGAATTCACTCTTCCTTCTTGAAACTGAGCCTGCTGGTGGGATTATTGCTTCCCAGCAACAACAACAACAAGAACAACTTCTCCTTACAGCACCACTCTGAAGGGAAGCAGAGTAGGAGTCTCCCCTTCTGAGCAAACACTTGGCTCAGTATTCCTGTTGCATTAGCAGTGAGGAGGAGAGTTACTCATAATGATTTTTCTCACTGCTCTAATAAATCTGCAGTTTCTGGCATTAGTAAGCCAGGCCTGTGTGATTAAACATACCTGTGTAGTGAGCAAAGGAGATAAGCGGTGCTCTCCTATACTTCATGGCCCAGGGATTTTAGTAATAATCCATGATCCGAGGCTTGGATAATGAATTTTGTCCGTCCACTGCTGGGGTCACTAACACACACTCACACAGTAAAAGCTCTCCTTCATCTGGCAGGAATCAGTAAATTAGACGGTCGGCTGGATTAGCTATGGAAGAAGAGTAACCCACACTTTTATTCACTGGCACAGAGAAGGAACCTGGCTGATGGATTTGGAGGCTGGTTGAAGGCACCACAAGGGTACAGGAGATTCCCCATAGAGGAACCACTGGTGGAGGCCGCTGCTGCAGATGGTGAGTGGTGCTCAAAGATGATATGTAGTGATCATCATGAAGTATCCATATCCTGCATCCATGGACAGTTTATGACACCCACCCTCCTGAACAAAAGGAAAACACCCAGACTGAAGGAGACACGTGTTCAGTCTGTCTTTATGGCTGTTTTTGTATGTGGCATGTTCTGTGTGAGATGTTTTACATCTCCCTGTAGTCATTTTGCATCTCCTTGCTGTTGTGTAGCATCTCTTTTCAGATGTTTTGTGCCTTCGGTAATCCATCCATGCCTGCATCACACTTTTTGGTAAAGGCATAAAGTTTTTCTTTGGTATATTTAGAGAATATATCATCTAATCCCACTGATTGGTGGAGAGCAGCAGTGGAATCTAAGCATATTTATTCAAGTAATGTATTGTTTTAAGTACTTGTGCTGTACTTGAATATTTGAATCTTGTGCTTCACTAAATTCCAGGCACCTTGTAAGTTTTGTAGTTCAACCAAAACTGATGTCACCTCTTAATTTTTCAAATGTTATTGTTAAATAAATGGGAAAAAAGAAAACCTTTCGCAAAAACATTAGAGAAAAGTTTTAATACGGCCACAAAGTGTGGACCTTTATCTTTTTTCTACGCCATTACTTGGGCCAAGACCTCTCAGGTTTATCTTGTGACCTTCTGGGGCCCTTAGGTTGAGAACCACTTGACCAAACTACCCACTACAGTATACAGGCTAATATAAGTAGTTGATAAAGCAGCTCAGCCACCTTCAACGTGAAAATGCTGCTTTCACATTGGTGCATCAGCATTAGCTAGTGTAATACATAATGTATGGGCCGTTCTTCCAGTGCAGGACTTGGACTTGGACTAGAGTACTTTGGTACTTTTACTTATCTGGAGGTCTAATTTTCACACCTCTGCTCTGGGGTAAGCTGAAACCATTTCTGTCAGGTTGGCTTTCACTGCCAACAACGCGAGTCCAGGCTGCACACTGCTCTCTTATCTCCCCGTGTGCTGGGGAGTGGGAGGGGGCAGTCACACAATCACAAGCCTTTTCCAGGCGAAGCTGGGAGCGATGGGAGGGGAGCGCTCAGTGCTGCAGCTGGACACTGGAGCGGCTCACGCTGTGCGGGGCATGACGGGATGCTGCTTGTGACCGCGGTGTCTGAGGGATAATGAACGCCTTCAGTAAGTGCTGGGATGTATGAGGAAGGTTTACTGTCAGCGCAGGGTGGAACGACATTGTGCTGTTGTGCCTCCTGGCTCCACGATGGTGTCGCCTCTGTGCGCTTTCCCCTCTGCTATCTGGACAGGGGCCACTGGCAGGGAGGTGACACATCGGCGTCGGAATTTACACGACTATCAGTCTCAGAATAGACCGGCCAGGGAATAGAGCTGCTGTCATGGAGAAACAGAGCAGACTCAGGGAGGAGATGCCGACATCGCGGGAGGAGAAGCGCAAAGAGAGGAAGCCGAAATCTGGGAAGCTTTTCCGAAAGAAACCGTTGAAGTCCGTGGGGAGTTTTATGAACAGACTCATCAAAACTTTGGGCACTTTGACCCACTTTGGAGACGCAGACGCGCAGGACGCGGAAGACGACGATGGGGGTTTTCGGAATGGCGCACCTTGCGTCCTCAGCGCCAGCTCAGGAATTTTCAAAGAGGATGTACAGGTGGCATGGGATCGAGTGGTGAAAAACACTTCCAGCACGCCTTCTCCTTTGTGCACCGGCAGAGAGAAGCTACTGTACCAATACGGAGACAAAGTCCCAGGCGTTCTGGGGCTGAAAAACCACGGGAACACCTGTTTCATGAATGCCGTGGTCCAGTGTTTGAGCAACACCGATCTGCTCGCAGAGTACCTGGGGCTGGAAAGATACAAGCTGGACCTGTGTGGAACCAGAATAAACGGCGTGGTGAGAAGTGACGAGCCGCGGATTGACAGGGGAGAGGTGACGGAGCAGTTGGCATCACTGGTCAGGGCTCTGTGGACTCTGGAGTACACCCCCCAGCTGTCAGTAGACTTCAAGGTAAGCACAACATTTCAGCCAAAACCCGGTTTACAGGTAGATGTGGGCTCCCTAACAAGGGCACGTAATAGCACAGAGGATACTAGTGAATGCAGTGTTGCAGTTTCTGTGGTTATCATCAGCAAACACACATGACGTGAACACACATGATTATTTCCTCACATAAGTGCACAATAAGCCGTTGTAGTCGAATATAATCACATGTTGTCCAGACAAGGTGCTATAATCAACGCTATGACGTAGCCTGGATAAACAGAAGAGGGTGTCACAAGTTTTACATCATGTGCTATAATTGCCAGTAGTTCAGTCTGTGCCTGCAGGAGTTCACAACATCCAGCGTTTGGCCCAGTGACTCCACTGTTGTCCTGCCAGGTGATAATGAGGTGCCACCTGGCGCCTGACGTTCTCTGACACACCACCCCGCACTGTATCCTACCATTACACCCTTCACTCTGCTGGCAGCCTTCTGTGGACAGTAGGGCTGTGAGGAGTTTCAGTTCATGTGGTCGACTGATGTGATGCTGGTCTTTAGAGTGCGGGGAGGCTGATATATTATACTGGTTTTATGTTTTACTTTTTCTTTTTGCAGATGAAACAAACAGTTTAATTGCTGTTCATTGTCATTTCATGGCCTCTGTTTGCTGCACTCTGCACTCCCAAATAAAAAAAATGTCCACAAATAATCAGACACTAGGCACTGACAAGGCTGCCTACAGATGTGTCTGCAGATGTTTTTTGCTAATCGGCCTCATGAGTGCAGACATCAGCTGACGCCAGTCATCTAAAAATGCCAAATATCAGCCAGATTAGTCGGACAATCGATTAATCTGTCCATCACTGCATGCTAGCCGCAGCACGGTGTAGCACTGTGCGTTTTATTCCACTCACAGCAGGGTGAGTTAAGTAAGGTTCAGGAGAGCGCTCAGCTGGACATTGCACTATATTGTTGAACTATATGTGTGTTGCGGTTGTGATGCCGTGATGTGAAGTACGTTGGCACAGGAAGGAGATGCTTTAAGAAAGCTTCCTTCCCTGAGGGTCGGGACTGTGGCAGAGCCCTGTCAGCAGCCCCTCAGGCTTTCCAGCTCTGCTGCAGCTCTTTGCTCTGGATTTCTCTGAGCTGTCGTTCAAGGAGAGAAGATGATATAGAGCAGTGAACAAAGAAACTCCACAGTGGCTCTATTCTTGGAAGGCTAATTACTCTGTAAGTGTGGCTACTGGAATATCTTGACCCATACTGCAGAGGCACTAGCGTGTCTTTTCTCACACTTGAATGTCTTGTAACAGTGCAGCCAAGTAGCAGCTTAGTCTTGTCAGTCTTTTGCTGCATATGAAATACAGCACTGACAGCCAGAATCAGATTTAACATAGATTCATTTTGGTCTTTTGCTGACTGAAAATTCTGCCCTCCCTGTTTAAATAGATTCTGTTGGCTGCACTTCTTACTGCCACTAAATCCTCAGTCTGCTTTCCCTCCTACCTCAAGGAGGTTTGATATGAGATATTTTCCAGACAACAATCAGAGCTCAGAAACCTCTTCCCAAGATTAAAAGAAAGAAAGTTAACTCTCCCTCTCGTATGTGATGAGATGCTTCCTGTGTTATAACGCACACACACACTGCCAGGCCTCTGGACTGTGCTTTGTGACCAGAGGTCCAGAGTTCATGTAGCTGAGGCCAACTGAAATTGCTTGTTGAGTAATACCACAGCTGCCTGGAGGGAGGCATTATAAAATAATCAGCTAGCTCTAAGGCTTGTTTCTGAGAGGCTCAATTAGTTCCCAGAGCAGGAACTCCAGAAAACACAGCCCACTTATAAACAAAAGGACTGGGCTTTGTTTAAGTGGCTCAGTTAATCTGCTGTTTTGTTGGGGGGATTGTCAACACAGGCCTTGGGAAGTCAGGTGCTTGGGAGGGTGCAGCTAAAGCAGCCAGATTAAAAGGACCTCTAACAAGTACCTATCTCAACATCACATGATAAGAACATGATAAAAGGGCAGGCGTTGAAAGGGATGGACATTTACCCTTTCATCACTGTGCTGCACTTTTTATTTGAAATGACTGATGGTGTTCATGGACATCTCCCTTGTGAATGTAGCGTCATCTTCATGTGATGAACAGTTCCTCAGAGCTAATGAATCAGCAGCGCTGCCCTGACAGGTCTGTTGGTTGCTGAGTCCCAGTCCGGAGAAGAAACAAAACAACAGTCCTGCCGAATACCTGGCGCTCCGCCACATTCCAGTCCCACCTGGGTTGTAGGTGGAGGGGGTAGAAAGAGAGAGGCAGCTTTCATAAATGCTCACTAATGATGAAGTATCGTGTGCTGCTTTGTGATATTTCTCACCGTCACTGTTTCCCGAGCCTCCGCTCTCACACACGTGTCTCTGTTCTCAGTTGAAGGCTTGAGTTTCCTCAGCCTGGGAGCAGATGTGTGCTTTTGATCTGGACAGTTTTCGTGCATTTTCTAAATCCCCCCTGGAAGGATGGCATGTTTGCACAGAGGCCTGGACAGGGGCAGAGCCTGAAACTCAAACAGTTACTCACCAGCCAATTTACTGGTTTCCATAACATGAGAGGCCTGAGAAAGAAGGGAGTTAGAGTGAGCAGGCTTGATGACTGGCCAGGAATGTCATCCTCCCCATGGTGCATGTGGATGGGCCCATGTAGGAAGCAACATATACCGTATGTTGTAGCGACAGCGGGCCTCAAAGGTATGTGTCAATATTTGTAGTCTCTGTTGATTTGTAATGATTATATATGTTGCTGGTTGCAGGAAGTCACGTGATTGAGAGTGCATGAAAACTAGTTAGCAAGTGAGCGGAGACGTCTGTAGTTACCTGATAAACACTTGAAATAGTTAATGGTAGTGGATAAAATATTTAAATAGTTGTTAATTCAATAGAAATGGAAAGGATGAGACCCTTAAATTGTCCTCTCATCTGTCTCCACTTACATAATAAATAAACGCAAGTAAATAGCCTCCCCACCACAAACAAATCTGTT